TACAATAAAGTCCCTAAGTATTGCCCGTATAATCGATTTAGCCCTTATATATTTTTTTTTTGCAATTTAGTCCTAAATACCTGTAAACGTAATCAAAACGAGATATTTAATAGGTTAGCCGGTATCCCACCTTACGTGTACAAGTGAGTTTTACCCTTCATTTCCACTGCATTCGACGTCTGGTAAATCGATTGAGAGAAAAAGATAGGGTTTTTACAGAGTGATACACGAAAGAAGTAAGGTTTTACTGAGAGAAACGAAGGTAAAACCCAATGGTTGTCGAATCAGAAGAAGTTCGCCATGAGTCATCTGAAGAATACGACTCTGAAGAATACGAAGATGATGACGAGGTGCTCGATACTGAGCACATAGATGTGGAACTGGAAGAAGATGATTTCAAGACACAGGGTAAAGAGAGATGCAAGGATGCTTTCCTTAACTTCAGTTCTGATTATGAAGATAATGAAGCCGATGAAGACAATGACTTAGTTGATGAAGATGAAGAAGGGTTTGGTTCAGAAGAGGAAATCGATGACACAGCAGGGGCTAATGATCTTGATTTGGGAGATGCGGTTGGTGCAGGCTTCCCCATTCACGACCCATCAGTTAAGTGGAATAAGATGAAGCCCCTTCTTGGTGAAAGGTATGAATCACCACATCAGTTGCAACAATGTCTCACTAATTATGCTATTAAGTCAGGGTATAACATTAAATTTGCGAAGTGTGACACTGTGAGATTAACTGCCAAATGTGGTTCTAAGATGAAGTCTCAACCCTGCCCATTCAGAGTTCATGCTTCCTGGATGACTCAAGAAAGGTCTTTTCAGATTAAAACCTTAGTCGATGAGCACAAATGTGTTAGAAATTTCAATATTTCAAATTTACTGAGTCCCAGATGGCTAGCAAGACACTTTTTGAAGGAGTTGATAATGAAACCTAACTTGAAGTGTAAGGAGATGCAATCAATAATTAGGACCAAATTTCATTGTGGTGTATCTTGGTCTAAGGCTTACAGAACAAGGTGTAGAGCAATGACCATTATAGATGGTAAACTTACAGAACATTATGCTAGGGTGTGGGACTATTGCCATGAGTTACTAAGGTCAAATCCTGGTAGCACTGTCCAAGTTGGTGTCACTGTAAATCCAGATCAAACAACATACTTTCACAGGATGTATTTGTGTTTTAAAGCAATCAAGGAAGGTTGGAAAATAGGGTGCCGTAGGGTAATTGGTCTAGATGGATCTTTCTTGAAAGGGACATGTAAAGGAGAATTACTCACAGCAATAGGGAGGGATGCAAACAACCAAGTTTATCCAATTGCTTGGGCAGTTGTTGACATTGAAAACAAAGCTAATTGGAAATGGTTTTTGGAACTGCTCACAGAGGATCTTAATCTGCTAGATGGAGGAGGGTTTACTGTAATTTCTGATCAACATAAGGTTTGTAATTTCTTTGCATATTTATGATTTTTCCTTAACATCATCTTATATGTTTATGTATTCATTAAATTGTAGGGATTGCTTGAAGCAACCAAAGAAGTCCTACCAAATGTGGAGCATAGACAGTGTGCAAGACACATATATGCTAACTTTAGGAAGACCTATTCTGGAGTGGAGTTCAAGAATATGTTCTGGGCAGCTTCCTTATCAACTGTAGAGAGTGAATTTCTCAGGAAAATGGATGATATAAAAGAGGTTAATCCAAATGCTTATGAACATTTGATCGCAAGAGATCCTCACACATGGTGCAGGGCATTTTTTAGGACTGATGTAGCATGTGAGGCAGTTGAAAATGGCATTGCAGAGTGCTTCAACGCCATCATATTGGATGCTAGAAAGAAACCCCTTCTAGCAATGTTTGAAGAAATTAGGTTGTACATGATGGATAGGTTCTACCATATGTTACAAAAGGCAGAAAAGTGGGAATCAGTGGTTTGTCCAGCTGCTATCAAAAAAATGAACAAGTTTGGAGAGGATTTGAGGTTTGTCTTAGCATTTTTATTGTTCCTTGTTATCATTATTCTAATTTCATTGTTATGATTTCATTTAGTAATGCCATTGTAGGAATTGGAATGTGAATCCAAGTGGACCATCTATTTTTGAAGCCAGGAATGGATTAGAAGGGTACGTGGTTAACTTACAAAGCAGAGTGTGCAGCTGTAGGCTTTGGGATATCTCAGGAATTCCATGTGTACATGCACAGTGTGCAATATTATTCACTGGACAAGATCCTGTTCATTTCATAAGTGAGTGGTTTCATGTGGACAGGTTCAAGGCCATATATGCAAACAATATACTACCTGTGAATGGTAGAAATTTATGGCCTAGAACATCATACATAAAGCCTCTACCCCCTTTAGCTAGAAGAATGCCAGGGAGACCAACTCTGAAAAGAAAGAGGCATGCCACTGAATCTCAAGACAAATACTCCCAAAATAAGATGAAGGTTACAGGAAAAGGAAGGACTGTCCAATGCAAAAATTGTCTTCAAAGGGGTCATAACAAGGCATCCTGTAAGAATCCCAAGGTCACACCAGAACCCAAACCCAAGAAAAAAATGGGTAGACCAAGATTGGATCCTGATATCAGTCATTGGACTAGAGGTGGTGTAAGAGGTGGTGTCAGAGGTAGTAAGGTGGTGCAAGGGGTAGTAGAGGTGGTAGAGGGGGTAACAGAGGTGGTGCAGTAGGTAACACAGGTGATGTAGTGGCTAACAGAGGTGGTGGAGTGGCTGAAGTTGGTGGAGTGGTTGAAGTTGAAGGTGGTGGAGTGGCTGAAGTTGAGGATGACACTATTCCTGAAAAATATTTAGTCCATTTATGGAAGGCAATGCAAGATTTGAAACTATCACGGTATTCAACTGAAGAAATTAAAAAGTCACTTAGTCTGACAGATTCACATATGAAACAACTCAATGATTACAATGACACTATTGAACAAGTTCTTCCTATGTCTATGGTAAACCCTCTATATTACCTTAATGTTTACATTCGTTTATGTTATTAATTGCTTGATGTTTTATAGGAAGAGGAGTATCCACCTCAGACAGAGACACAAGATGGGGATGAAGAAAATATCCCTGAGACACAACCAGAAAGTGAGGAAGAAGAAGAAGGCATTAATGACACCCATGAATTACCAGTACACCTTAGGATTGTGAAAAAAAGAAGGCCTCTGAGAGGATTGTTAAAACCAAGCTGAAGAAGATGGGATGTGTTGGGACTTCTTCAAATTCACCATTGGAGTTGGATTAGGGTGTTAGGGTGTTAAGGGTAGTAAGGGTATTTTGGTACATCTTTTGTGAATGCTACTTTTGTGCATCTTTTGTGAATGCTACTTTTGTATATCTTTTGTGAATGCCCTTAAATTACTGATAACCATATTTTGTACATCTTTTGTAAACACATTGAAACATTGTGAATGCCCTTAACATGGTTGGTAATGACATATTGGAGTTTGTTGTTTAATTATTTTAGCCACATTGAAACATTGTGAATGCCCTTAATATGGTTATATTTGTCAAGTGTACACCATTTATGCAAACCAAGAAGGGCACCAGCAACACCTCTGTAGTAAGATCTTGTTATTGATCTAAATGATTCTTGACCATCCTAACAAATATATAAAGAAAAAAGAAGAGATTTTTTTAAGATTTCTTTTTATAATAAATGTAACAAGAGAATAAGGTATAGAAGAAAAGAAGGAGACAAACTGTGTCCCAGATTTGGAGCTTTATTGGTTTGTTGTCAATGGTGATCATTTTAGTCCCAAATTCAACACCAATTGTTAAATCATGGTTATATTTGTCTAGTGTACACCATTTATGCAAACCATAATAACATATTGCCATTTCATTAACCGAAACATTAAACTATTACATCAAAATTTATCTATTACATCATGATGATAACAAACCAAAAGATTACATCATCCCTACCATACCATAATACCCTACAACTTACACTAAACTAACCATACATCATCCCTACAATGAAACAAACAAAACAAACCATCATCCACTTGCAGAATCCAAATTCATTACTAGGCACATGTGTATTGTCACACATTGCAATTTGATTATCAGGTTCAAGAGCATTCGCAGGGGCAATAGGGACATCAACATTCACAGGGGCAATAGGGCCATCAACAGGTATTTCACCTTCATTAACAGGGTTATTAAAAGGAATAGCTACACCCCCATTAGCAACAGCTCCTAACTCATACATTCTTTCTTTATACCACTTATTCAATAGTGGTGGGTCAATCCAACGAAAATACCCACAGTCCTTCTCTTCATCCTACATAACATAGCAAGATGCATGTTTTTAACATAGAAAAATGGGAAATTTAGAGGATTAGAAGAATTTGAGTGAGTTTTGAAGATTCTATACCATGTAATTTGGGCAACCAAAAAACCTCCGACCTGGATTCTTTCGAGTCCATGATGTCCACATCCCAACCGTATCTCCACAATAGCACGTTCTGATGTTGGTGCTTGACGAACTCGACATCGATTTCCTGTTGCCAATTTGCCCTAATCGTTCGCTCCTTTGACTGGAGATTGAAGAAGACGAGCTCGATTCAATGATTTAGCCCTCTTAAATGGCACGTAGGATGTTATTTCACATGATGACTTCCACGTAAGCTGCCACATCAGTTAGATACCGGCTAACCTATTAAATATCTCGCTTTGATTACGTTTACAGGTATTTAGGACTAAATTGCAAAAAAAAAAATATAAGGGCTAAATCGATTATACGGGCAATACTTAGGGACTTTATTGTAGTTTTCCCTAATATATATTCTTTTACAATTCATCCAATCAATGGAAGGAACATGTAGGAGAAGTCTACATGCCCTACAACCTTACTCCCTCCAAAACACCACTTGCCCATTGGAAGACCAAAGAAAAAAAGAAGGAGATCTGTCATGGAGGTTGAGGATTTGGTGAAAGGTAACCAATTGTCAAGAGCACAAAAATCAACGATATGTTCTAAGTGTAACAAAACTGGGCATAATGCAAGGACTTGCAAGGGACAAAAGGTTAGTGGTTCTCAAACTTTAAGGAATGTTTGTGGATCACAAACTTCAAGGAATGTTGGTGGTGTTGGAAGTGCAAAAGTGAAGGCTGGTGGATCACAAAATTCAAGGAATGTTGGAAGTGCTGGAAGTGAAAAAGTGAAGGCTGGTGGATCACAAACTTCAAGGAATGTTGGTGGTGCTGGAAGGGAAAAAGTGAAGGCAAGTGTTAGCAAAAAAAGGAAAGGTGTCCTATAAATGTGGCTTTTAGGTGCTTATGTATTGTTTTGGTTGATGTTAACAAACATTGTCTTATTTTGAACTAGGTTATATGTTGTCATGGTTGTGTTGATTGCTTTTGAAAAACAATGTTGTAATTATAGTATCTAGTTTTAGCAATGTACTTTCCCTTTGACAAACAATGTAATCTCTTGATTGCTTTTGGCGTTGCTTTTATTTTGGTCACCTGTTTTGCTCATTTTTTGACAAACAATGTAATCTTTTGATTGCTTTTAACATTGTAGTTTTAGCAATGTCCCAGTATACTTCACAAATTGTAAAATACAATCAAGTTCAACAAAATATCATTTTCATTGATAAAAGGGTACCCTTGATACAAATAAGGTTCATTACAATGCTTTGTAAACAACTACAACTACATCAATTGATCTTAAACCTAACACTACAACTTGTTAACAATTATCCCAAAAAACAAAAACCAACTGATTATTAACAATGTCTTCAAATTCTGATTTTGGACCTCAAGTTCTTGAATTCGGATTTCAAGCCCCTCATTTTTTATTTCCGCCTCATGACCATGCTTTTCATCATCTACCCACTTAATAAAGCCTGACCTTGGTCCCCTTACTGTCAATGACTTCGATTAGCACATACACATACTAGGTTAAAATAGAAATCCCCCAAAACAATTACAACATCATACCTCTAATGGGTAAGCATAAAATGCCCTACCTGGGTTTCTTTTCGTAGTTGAAGTTCGTATAACGCCTATCGCACCACAATTGCATTTCACCATTTTTAATCGACTGTGAGAAAAAAGGTGGGAGGAGAAGACTGCGATTGAGAAAGAAATGAGGGAGGAAGACGATTAAACCATGTTTAAAGATTGGGTAGTATGAAAAGACAAAAAATACCCCAACGTGCTTATCGCGTTGGGGGGGGGGGGGGGGTGGGTTCTAACCACAAAACAGACGAAATGTTAAGTGATGGACCAGGCGAGTTAAGAATTTTAACATTAGGGATCATTCGAGTTAAAAATCTTGCTTAGAGATTAGACGCGTAGGTTACCCCAAACCACAAGGACCATCCGTGTAATTTACCCTATTTAATTTTTATTTTAATTGTAGAATAAAAAAATATGTTATTTTACTTTGTAATGTAAAATAGCATATGTTTCATAAACCCAAAGCCCAAGAAGACATCCATAATAGAATCAGCCCATGGTGAACTTATAAGAACCGGGTATGAAACATTTTTTTTATTATTTATTTATTTATTTTTATTTTTTTCTTCTTCTTTAGTTGCATGATTTTTGATTGATAACTAGAGTTTGGACCGTTCGCATGATGCTCTAAGAACCTGGTATGTTGAAAACCGCAACTTGGCACCATATATACCATAGAGACGATTAAACTATATAATTTGGAGTACAAAAATATCAAAATAAAATTTGGATACAAACATGAGGCGGACGAAAATAAGACTTGAAAGTGTATTTTAAAGAAATTAATAAAAAAAAGATTATTAGAAAATTATTTAAGGAGCAAAAATGTAACTTTAAAATATAATAAGTGATCAAATCGTAATGTATAAAATACTAATAATTTATCTTTAAAATTACGAGAGATGAAAACCGTTAAATAAAAATTAATTGAAGAGAAAAAAATATAAAGATTAACATGTAGCACCGTCATTGCAAAGTTTTATATGTATACACAAATTTTCACCATGAGTTTTACAAAATAATAGAATCCGATAAAAGAAAAAATATATGGATAGGTTGAAGTCAATAATCAAAGTGAAAATTAGAAAATAAAAGAATAGAAGAAAATGTAAAAAAGTAACAAAATAAAAAATAAAGGCTAGGGAGGGTAAGTGTCAAACACGTGACTTGGTGATAAGAAAGTGTATGTTGATACACTGCGACAAAGACAATACAATGGATCCCTCTTTGCAACCCACTTCGGCTTTTTTTGCATCCCTTTAGATTAAACTTTGGTCTCAATTGGTTTTTAACATTTTAATATTATTTTTGTTGAAAACAAATGTAAAACATTGAAGCTGATTTTTTTTTTTTTTTTTAATAAATAAATTGGTTGTTAGTTAAAAATCGATAAAGTAATTTTTTATTAATTTGGTTTGAACTCTTTAGATTGAACTTTGGTGTTAATTGGTTTTAACGAAAATGCGAAATTGTTTAAGCAGATCGTGTTGACGAAATCTTTGTATGCATGCAAACTTTTTGTATAAAAAAGTATGGTAGAATAATGACTATACAAAATAAACACCCTTCGAATTAAATCCCATTTATCCAATATTTAGAACACTTGCAAAAAAATTGGGTAGCTGTCATACCCATCCATACAATCCGTAAGTAATTTTGCGCCCTAGTTAGACCTAAAAGAAATGTCACAATTCTAATTTTGAGGATTTAAATCAACGTCCTGGAACTTTTCCTCTTTATAGCGAAAATATGTTTTTTTTTTAAATAAAATAAATATAAAAAATAAAAAATAAAAATAAGTAGAAATAATATTTAAAGAAAATAGGCAATTTGGATTTTAAAGTAATAAAAAAAGAAAGGGATAAGTTTGACAAGTTAGTCAAACTTGGGGATGGATTTGAAAATGTTAGGGGCCTTCTTGTTAGAAAGTTACCGATGTGGGGCAAATTAAGAGAGAAAGATAATTGAGTACACATGTCGTTTTATAGGAATAAGAGGATAATTAAGAAAAAAAAAATAGAAAGATATTTAAAAGATTAGTCAAATGGTGTCTGATTTTAGAAATAAGAAACCCGAGGACCACCTAAGAAGGAAGTGTGAGCTCTTTTAGCTAGAGTTCTCCCAATTAGAGAGAACGATCGAGAATTGAAGAGGGGAAGCTCAAACATGGTGATTTCAAATTATAATATTTCCGGTTAAGTTTTGAATATGAAGTGAAGATTAAAACTAGGGATCACTCATTGGACATTGGGGGTATAATGATTATACTATAATCTCTTCATTTTTCTTTTTCAATTGCGACATGGGGATTGACCTCAACACCAAATTCGAATTTCATGAGTCATTGTTGATTATAAGTTGATTCTAATGCTTGAAGTAAAAGATTATTTTTCTTTCAAAATCGTCAAAACCCATGCTCCCGCAGCCGCACATATGCGCTTCATGCGACCCCCGACATGTGTCACCATCTGGTAAGTTAGTTTTTTTTTTTTTTTTTTTTTTTTTTTTTTTTTTTCCACCAAATTTGTTTTTTGAGTTTTTTTGTAAAAATAATTCTGAAAAAACCACTCATCTACAAAATAAACATATCATGAAAATTTAAAGAAAAAAAAACATATGTTTTACTTTTTAGTTTATGAAAGCACAAAAAAATCTCCAAATTTTATGAAAGTTAAAGAATTATTCTATTCAATATATTAGCGACTTTCTAGTTTTTTTATATATTTTTTTTAAGCGTTCATATTCTTATTTTAAGATATATTAGTTTTTATAGAATATAACATAAACCTTTTTTCGTCTCCAAATTCAGAAAAACAAATGAAATCATTCTTTATATTACTATTTTAGTGAGTTTTTATTAAAAAAACAAAAATAATGTTGTTAAGGATATGTACCCTTTGTTTAAAGTAATCCAAGTTTTTATAAAACTAAGAAATAAGAAATATTTTTAAAGATTTGTTATCTATCATATATTATGAGCTTTTTGATTTTTTTTTTTAAAATAAGTTTGTTTTTGATAACACATTTTATTTTACAAGCTTGCAGGTTTTAACAAAAAATAATACTAATAATGAATGATAAGATACAAAATTAGAAGATTTAAAAAATTTATGATCTAAAAGTACGATGATTGAATTAGTTGATGTCCTTAATTTGTTATAATCCTAAAACAATATGATCTAAAAACATTATGATCATGCATCGTATATTTTATGATTAAAACATATATTGATCTAAAATTCGATACGAACAAATTTTGATTTAGTTGAATATATTATAATCCAAAATCATTACGAATTCAATATGTATTATGATGTTAAAATATTATGATCTAAAATTGTTATGAACCTTAATAGTATATTTTATAAATTAAAATTATATATTTCAAAAGATGTTATGATTATAAATTTAACAAATATTATTCAAGGAAGAAGAGGAGCGATTTTGCTTCAATCAGCCAAACTTCGGTCAGGCTACTCAAGAAAACTGACTGTAGATTTTTTCTTCTTAAAAGAAAACTCTCAGTGGCTACTCAAGGTAAGGCTATGGGGGAGTAGTTACACCTCTTCCACTGGAAAAGTGCTGCCACATGTGTATCATGTCAGCTTCACACCTAAACCACCACCAACCCACTAAGGTTATGGGGAGTGGTCACACCCACCCCACCGGAAAAATACTGCCACATGTGCGCCATGTCAGCTTCACACCCAACCCACCACCAACTCACTAAAGCCTGGAAATGGTTACCACTCCACAAATTTTTTTTTATTTATATTTTTTGAACATTATATTAATTAAAAAGCATAATTTATAACATACATTAATTTTTTAAAACATAAAAAAATAAGAGCACATTTCATTAATTAAAACATAGAAATTTAAAACTTAAATTAGTAAAATTAAACATTACATTGTTTAAATAAAATAAAAATTAAAAAACATAAAAAAAAACATAGAAAAATAACATTACATTGTCTAAATAAAATAAAAATTAAAAAACATAGAAAAATTCTAATCGTCGCCGTTGTCGTCACCGGTATCATCCACCTCGTCACCACCATCGTCATCCTCCTCATCCAGGGGCGGACCTAGGGGTGGTCCACGGTGGCACCGGCAACCCCTAACTTTTCCGGCCGCAGTGGAATTGTCATTCCCATATGTATTCGGTCAAATCATGTCGTAGATTGTGATGTGTTTCACGGTTTTGTATTTCCAAAACCCTTGAGAAGTATGCTGGACTGCCAACTTGTATTACTGCGGGTGGGTTAAGTATATCGTTTGTGGTATATAAGTA